CCCAGTGCGGGCGATGGGGGAGGGCTGGCGGACCTCCCCCGCGGATCGACAGCTCCAGCGACCGTTCCTCGCCTCCTGCTGCCTGCTCCTCCTCGTCTTCCCGCGCCCCGCTGCCCAGGATGTTCGACAAGCTGGCGCGCTCGTGCAAGCCGGGTGCCCCCTTCGTCATCGAGGACTACGTGCTGGCCTTCGACGACAAGCCGCTCACGCAGGAGGAGGTCGAGAGGGTGTCCAGGCTGAGCTCGCTCTCTGGGTGCGCGGGGGGCGGTGGGACGGGGAGGGGGCCAGCTCCGGTGCACGCGGGGTTGGGATGGTCACGGGAGGAAAGACCATCCGGACCGGACAATTGACGTTTACTAAACGGCCCTGGGCGTTTACTAAACAGCCTGCCCTTGTTGATTCCTTCTTTGGGTGCGTTTGCTAAACGGCTTCGCGTGTCGGGGTGGTTATTATCGGTGTGGATTTTCTGCCCTCTAGATGGGGGGGCCGGCAAAAGGGCATGAGACGACGATCTGCCAGTCCTCCATCGTCTCAAACATCGAGAACGCCGGCGGCGCATCACCGGCCGCTCCCTGGGAGTTTGACGCAGCGTGTCGGGAGGCTCTTGAGTTGCGTCGCCGCGTAAAGTCATGTCGCCGCCATGACTGTGCGAAAAGGCCCTGTAGGAAGGAGGAGGGGGAGGTGGAGGAAAGGAAAAGGAAGAGGGGAGAGGCGGATGAAAGGAGTGTCGGGATTAGAGAAGGTCGACTTAAATGGCGGAGTTTCGAAATGTCTGTTTCAGTTCGCCCTGAGGGCACGCGCTTGGAGCTGTCCTGCGCTTTGTCGGGCCGTCATGCGGGCCTCTGGGGCCGTCTTGGAGCTGTCGTCGGCACGTCTGGGATCGAGTTGGGGCGATTGGACACTCTTGGGTCGCATTGCAGCGTCGGGAAGCCGATGAGGCCGAAGCTGAGTATCCTCCTTGAAAAACGTGCTTTGGGAGTGTCTTTTAGGGGCCTCTTGGTGACCGTTTGGGGGCCTTTGGGACTCCTGCTTCTTGGAGCCAGTTGGGGACCTCTCGAGGGCCTGCTGGCGGTCTCGAGGGTATCTTGGGGCTGGAAGTGTAAGTTGGCGTGCTGCCTCTCGGACTGTCTTGCGACTCTTTTAGTGCTTTCTTGGGCCGTCTTGGGCGCTGCTGGGGCTGTCTTGGGGCCGTCTTGAGGTCATCCTGGGACCCTGTCTGGGGCGATCTTGGGGCGGTCTTGGGGTCGTGTAGGGCTGTCGTGGACGCTCTGAAGGCGCAAAAGTCGCACATGCTAAACATGTACGTTTTCGCAAGGAAGAGAGACGACTTTTGCCTCTTGGGGCCATCTTGGAAAGTGCTTTGGAAGCCCTCTGAGGGCGTCTTGGAGATCTCGTGGCCGTCTTGCGACCATGTCGGGCGTCTTGGAACGATCTGTCGGCGACTTGGAGCCCTCTGGTCTGGGACCGTCTTGGCAAGCGCCTTGGGGCTCTCTTGGGCGCCCAGGGGCCCCTAAAGATGTTTGGAACTGCTGACCCCGGGGGGGTCTGCGAGGGACCGCCGGCAGAGTGGAGGCTCACAGGAGGGACCTCAGGGAGATTTTGACCAGGCCCTGGCCTCGGCATCGCTCGGACGTGTGCATTTTCTTCCTCGGCGAGGGCCCTCGAGGAGCACCCTCGACCATCTGGCAGAAAGGGCACGCGCGAGACCGAACAAGTGCATGGGGAACGGGCGTCCGAGCGACGGCAAGTGGCGGATCCTGCCAGGCACCTGGACGGAGCGGTCTCGCACGGCCCACGCTTGCAGGGCGGGAGCGGCCGGATCTGAGGGGCTTTGCCCTCTGCCGCCGCACGCCCTCATATTTCAAGAGGGGGAAAAACACACAGACACAATGAATCGTCGATTCCCAGGAGAATGTGCGAAAATATGGGAAGTGGGGGGGAAGACCCCCCCCCAAAAAAATATATAGGAAAGTATAGGGAATCCTGCTATTTGTGTGTATCTATTTGTGTGTGTGTGTGTCCCAGGGCCCCTTCAATGCTGCTTGCATGGCCGCGCTTGGTCTGTAGGTTGGTTGGACTTCGTGTCGGTTGGCTGGCTTGCTGGCAATTCAGCAGATTGGCTCCGTGTCGAACCCGACGGTTGGCAGTTGATTCGGGCTGCCTGCTGGCTGGCTGGTTGCGCGCGCTTGCAAGAAAGAGTGGGAGATGGTGGCCTCGGGAGCGTGATTCCACTGTGATTCACGAGGGTCCGCGGCTTCGGGAGTGTGCGCCCCGAGCTATTTTTGAGGACTCGTGTCCTCGGGCCGAATACTCAGGAAAGAGCAGAGGAACCGAAACGCGCCCCCCGAACACATCCCAATTCAGAACTCTGCAGTCCTCTGCCCTGGAGACGGGGTGGCGCTTTTGGACAGCCTCCGCGAGGGGGGGGGATTCGTGGCCTCGGGAACGCGAGCGCGCCGTGCTTTAGGAGCAAATGTCAGCCACAAGAGTCAAATGTTGATACTGTCTACGGGATTGTACCTGGGTGTATAAATCACCACCGAGAGCCAGACATATTCTACAACACCGCTTTCCCTGAAGGTACATACAACATTCGTCGGAGGGTGTCTGTGTGTATATATATGTTATATATATATATATATATATATATATACATTTGTGGTGTAGATTGTAGTCTCGGCAGCGCAAACCAGTTGTAAATTTACGACGGATGTTCTGGCCTTGGGGGGACGCGAGCCCGCCGTGATTTACGAGGGGCTTGTGGCTTCGGAAATGCGAGCGCGGTGTAATCTTCGAGGGCTGGAGATGGCTAATTTGTGGGCTTTTCCCCTCTTGCGAACTTTGTCATTACAGCACTGGCACTAGGGAGTCGAAAGCCCATGCTGAATAAGTTGGGAACTGGGATGGTGGCATGGACCAGGACTGCCTGGGCCTCGCAGCCTGTTGGCCCCCAAGGGGGCCGGCGGAAATACACAGACACCTCCGAGTGGATTGTTCCAGGGCCTCAGGGGAGGGTGGCGGTGTACAAATCACCACTTAGAGCCAGCGACTTTATATACCGTCGACCCTGAAGGCACTGGAACTTCTTACCAGCAGGTGTTTGTTTATAGTTATTCGTGCTTTGCCGCAGCACCTGGTCACACGGTGTTCTCGTCACCGAGGTTCGACAACGTCTTGCATATTTTCGCCGTGCATGTTTTCAATCACGCATGTGCCTTCTTGTGCCAATGATCTGCCAACGCGCCGTCTAGGCGAGGCTTCTGTGTGACTCCAGTCTCCCCCCTCTCGGCCAGGGTTGTCGGGGCGGTGTACATCCCGACGGTGCCCGAGTACATAGCCCAGCTAGAAGCCGCCGGGTTCGAGGACGTCAAATCCGAGCCGCTCACGGAGCCGTGGGTGGCCTGGACGGCCTCCCGCAGGGACATGTTCCTGGCCAAAAAGGACCTCCAGGGCTACGTTAGGGCGGAATGGGCTCATGGGGGATGCACCCGCGCCCCCAATCGCCCATTCCTCGCCGACGTGCGTCTGAGAGCCCACACCGCCCAGGAACGTGCGGCTTCGCCGTCGGGGGCCTCTCGCCGACCTGTCGGCCATGCATCGCCCATTCCAGGCCGATGCCTCCCCTCCCCCCAGGCGGCCCCCCCTCCCTGCCGTGGCCCCTCAGGACCGCCACATTGCCACCCACGGAGAGAAGCACTACGCCATGATGGAGGAGCGGGCTGCCTGGGCGCGTGCGCTCTGGTCCGCCCGCGGCCCCCACCCCCCCTGCCCCCCGGCATCCCGGCGCAAGTTGGACCCCGTCCTTTCGTGATTACTCATGAGACTGTTTGGCAAAGCACCCCCTCCTCCTCCCCCTCCCCATCACTCCCACCTCCATCCGAAAGGCCGGTGCATTTCTCCTCCTTCACACTCATCCTCCGTTCCCCTCCGCCTCCCCCCCTCCTCCTCCTCCTCCTCCCTTCTTCTCCTCCTCCTCCTCCTCCTCCCCCTCCTCCTCCCTTCCCTTTCCTTCTGAACAACTCCTCTCTGTCGCGCCCCGAGGCCGGTCGAAAGGGCGGGCCGAGCGTTTCGCCAGAGACGTCCTCACCATTTATGACCCTGAAGCTCAGAAGCTAGCAGCAGTTTCACGGATGGGGGGTGGTTCTTTTTCAACATGTAGCTCTTTTCTTGGCGCCTCGCACAATCGTTGCAAGCATTTGCAAGAATTTCACGGATTGAGGGCGGTTCTTCTTCAACATGTGGCTCTCGTTTTCGCGCCGCGCATTCGTTTTAAACATTTGTAAGGATTTCACGGATTGAGGGCGGTTCATTTTCAAAATGTGGCTCTCGCAGTAGCGCCGCGCACATTCGTTTTCAACATTTGCACGATTTTCACGGATTCCCATGACCAACGTGCCAGAAATGGTCTTTCGGAAGGACTCAGGGTTTGTGAGGGCGCAACAGTTACGTTGGTTCGCGGTGTGGAAGTCCCAGGAACGGCGTTCTGGCACGATTCAGGATCGTCAAGACGCAACAGTCATGTTGATCCGTGGCGTTGGAGTCACGAGACTTGTGTTTTGACACGCTTCGCTTCAGGGTCTTCAAACGGTTGTCTCCCAGCGAGGCAGTCCCCTCATTGAAAATGAACCTTGTACGGGCCTCTGAAGAGGGAGCTTGGAGGGTTTATTCCTACATCGTTGATGAGTCTTTGGTTTCCACTGGTCCTCCTCCTCCTCCTCCTCCTCCTCCTCCTCCTCCTCATCCTCCCCCCTTCCCCAGCGTGACTGTTTTAGTTGCTTGTCGGCGCCGCCCCTCGTGGGCCCGTCCCGCGTGACGTGGGGGTGGAGTGTGCAGTGTGCAGTGTGCCTTTCCCCCCACGCCCATCCCTCTTCCCCTCCTGCCCCCGCCCACTTTGGGTGAGCCACGGCGCGACCATGGAGGTCACGGTGTGTTCGACATTGTTTTTTTTACCGCTGCCAGAATGCCAGAGTGGGCGTCGTCCCACCCGGGGGCCTCCTGGGCCGTCTCGGGGTTTCGGAAACCCGAAAAGGCGAGAACACGAACCTTCTTCAAACACGTGGAGGGAGCCAATGAGTTTTGCCTCTTGAGGCCCTCGGGGGGGTTCTTGAGGCCCTCTTGGGGCATCTCGGGAGCACCGTCTTGAGACCATGTTGGGTCGGCTTCAGGGCTCGTCTGCGTGTTTGAAGCTATTTGTGCGTTCTGGAAGGCATCCAGGGCCTTTTGGAGGCGTTGCAGGGTGCATGTGGAGGCCCAGGGAGCCAGCAGGGTGCGTTGATGAGCTCGTGCCCTCCCCCCCATTCTCCTCCGTCTACCTCCGCGGACAGCGAGGGGGGGAAATGAGAAGGAGAAGGCCTTCTTAGAAGGCGGCGGGACTTCTCAGAAGCCCTCACGCCTTCTGAGAAGTTTTCTGTGTCTTCGGGGAATGCTTGGAAGACTTCTCAGAAGGCCGTGGGACTTCCGAGCCTTCTGATAAGGCCTTCTCATTCTCACTTCCCCCCCCTCGCTCGTCGTCAACTACCGGGATTTCGGACCCAGGAGGAGGGGAGCCAGATGTCTCACACGGCCTTTGTGCTGCTGGCAAGCGGGGGTCGTCGGACATATAGACTACAGTCGAGACTGATTGGTAGGTCGACCCTGCCAAATCGAGGGTAACCTTGTGTTATGGGAGTTAAGTTTTTGTAGTAAAGTTTTATTTGATCTTTTTAATATTTAATTTTTTATATTATGAAGTTAGTGTTCTTAACATTTATGTGTTGAGTCTTGTAGTGTTGTTTTTAACCTTGTGTCCTGAGCTTCGCGACCCATGCCTTCTTACATTCCTATGGCAATGTTGCCCTCGGAAGGGTCTTGTGTCCTCCCGCGTGTCCTCTCCAATCATCCCCGACTGGATAGATGATTGTGCATGTTATGGACATCTTTGGGGGGAATCCGACTTTCCAAGTGAACCGCCTTCTATACTTGCCGCAGTCGAAGAGCTTCGAAACTTTTTTTGCGCCGGCGGTCAGGCAGAGTCGCTGCGCTGGCGAAAGGAGTGAAACGGGGCAGGCGTTAAGTTCGGATGCAACTCCTGGGAGGTCAAATTCTGACTTTGCCCTGGTCCGAAATCCCGCTGAATCCCGCTGAATCCCGCTGAATCCCGCTTCATCCGTCTTAATCCCGCTGAATCCCGCTTAATCCCAGCTTGATCCGAGGCCCACTCCGGCGTAACAGCCCCCCAATGGGGCTCAATCCTCTTGAACCCTTCCGACGACAACCTCCCAGCAGTTGCCTCCCAAGTTAAGCGATGTGTGCCACCACGCGAAGAGGGGGGAAAGGAGGACGACGGGGCGACGGCCGAGGGGAGGGGGGAGCGGGCCGTGGCCGCCCAGGGGTGCGGGGTGCCCAGGGCGCGCGGCGCGGCCGTCGCCGCCGCGGGGCGGGAGGCTTCCGAACCACGCGGGGTGAGACGGCGATGGCCACACTCTGCAAACGAGCCGGCCTCCATCCTGGCAGCCGTGGGGACCCCGGAGGCGGAGAAGTGTGCGGCGCCACGGCGAGAGCCACGTCTTCGAGAGCCTCCCGCCCTCCATCCCCGAAGCTCTTGGATTCTTTTGTCAGGACGAGTGTGTGTCGCTCTACAGGGGGGGCCCCATGCCAAGAAACACTCTGCTTGCCTCCAGGGTGCGTTTTGCTGTGGACAGCGTTACGTTCCCGCCCTCAAAATCAATGGACGTCCTGGGGTCTCATGGTTGGGTCTCTCGTGGAAGGTTTCCTGTGGTCGGGCCTCCATTGTAGGGCGAGGGCCACACTTTGGAAGTCCCCTGCTCTCCATCCCTGGTACCCGTTGGCCACTTTGGGAGACGAGTGTGCGAGGTGCTGCGGCGAGAGCCATGCCTCGAACACAAAAGCCCGCCCTCACTCCGTACAGGGCAGCTGCTGGACATCTCGGACTCAGTGCCCGATGGGCAGTGATGGAGTCCTGGGCGAACATCTCTGCCCGCGCTGCCGACACGTCTAGTTCTAGGCTTCCTGGATGGGGTCCGAGTAGATGGGGTCGGCGGATCGCACCGTCTCGCCGACGCATCGACGATGCGGCTCGATGTGGAGCCCGATTGTCCCCACGCCGACGTCGCGAATGCGTCGCCGATGCATCGGTGATACATAGGCGATGCGGTGTGATCCTCCGACCCCATCTACTCCGACCCCATCTAGGAGGCCTCTACTGGTGGTGCGGCGAAAAGGAGCTGTTCGAACGAGCGCCCCAGAGGGGGCCGGCACTGCCGACCCACTTTCTTTCGGCCTGGCCGTTGCTGTCAGGGAGCGCAAATGATTGTGCACGCACGGGAGCCGAGGAGCGTGCGGCGGGAAGCCCACGGGGGGGGAGGCGGAGGAGGCCGGGGAGGGCGAAGTGCTGGGAGGACCGAGGGGGCCCAGGATGGGCAGGGGGAGGCGGAGGTGGGAAGGGAAGGTGGAGGAGTGGCAGGGGGAATATCTGCAGGAGGTGAAGAGGGGGAGGAGGCGAAGGAGGATGAATTAAGGAGGAGGAGGAGGAGAAGGAGGAGCAGGAGGAGGAGGAGGAGGAGGAGGAGGAGGAGGAGGAGGAGGGCGAGGATGTGCAGGAGGATGTGGAGGAGGGGGTTGGTTGAGGAGGAGACGGAGGAGGAGGAGTTGAGGAGGAGGAGGAGGGGGAGGAGGACGAGGAGGAGGAGGAGGAGGAGGAGGAGGAGGAGGAGGAGTGACAGGAGGATCGCAAGCAGCTTGATGATGAGAAGGAGGAGGTTGACGAGGAGGAGGGGGATACATGCAAGTGAGGGGCTTCGAGGGTCATGCGATGGTGAGGGGCTTGTGATGGGAACGGGAAGGAAATGGCGCAGAGGAGGTGGGGAATGAGGAGTAGGGGCAGGTGCAGGTGGATGATCATATGGACGTTGTGGAGGAGGACGAGGGCGGCGACGACGACCACGATGACATGGGCAAAGACGGAAACGACGAAACCCTCGACGACGACCACGATGACGGGTCGGACGAGCCTGAGGGGACAGACACCAGCGGCCCATTTTTGCCAAGCATGGTCGCTGTGGTGCGATAGTAGCCAGGAGGGATGTCCGTGCACAGACTTTGGGAGGCATGGTGGAAGCCGAAGAGGGCCACGTAACGAGGTATCCAAGACGGCCTCAGGGGATTGGATAAGTGCTTCAAACACTGTTCGAAAAAACACCCAAAGCTGTCCCAGGCGGCGGACGAAACCAGAAGAGGCAGAATGAGGGGCAAAAGGGGCCTGAGTACACAAGTTTTGACACCGTCGAGGGACCTGGACGGGGGCCGGATGGCGTCCAGGACGGCTCAACATGGCTCCAAGAGGGTGGCCAGACGGTCCAAGATAGCTTTCAAGATGCCTTGAGGTCGGCTAAGGAGGTTTCTAAGCTATCCTAAGGTGGCCAGAGAGCCCCAGGAGTGTCACAATACGCTCCAAGAGGCTTCCTTGAGGCGGAATATAAGCTCAAGACTGCCAACATCGTCAACACCCAAGTGTTTTGTCACATGTTTATTTAGCTTCTTCGGGTTTCAGGCACAACTTGATTCGAGAAAGGGCATCATAAGGTTTCGAAACGGCCTCGGGGAGCCCCTACCACGGGACACATTAGCCCAAGATGGCCCCAAGAGGCCCCCAAGACAGCCCAAGAGGGCTTCTGGAGATGTCCCAGACGCCGTCGGGGGGCGTCCGGAA